TCGAATGCCTTTTCCAGATCCACGAAACACATGTGGACTGGTTGGACAAACTCCCATTAACCCTCCACCACCCTGAAGAGGGTATAGAGCTGGTCCAGTGTTCCGCGGCCAGGACGAAAACCGCATTACTCCTCCTGAATCCGAGGTTTGACTATCGATTCGATTCTCCTCTCCAGTACCCTGGCATAGACTTTCCCGGGGAGGCTGAGCAGTGTGATCCCCCTATAGTTGGAACACACCCTCCGGTCCCCCTTCTTGAAAAGAGGGACCATCACCCCAGTCTGCCAGTCCAGAGGCACTGTCCCCAACTGCCATGCGACATTGCAGAGGCATGTCAGTCGAGACAGCCCCACAACATCCAGAGACTTGAGGTACTCAGGGTGGATCTCATCCACCCCTGGTGCCTTGCCACCGAGAAGCTTCTCAACTACCTCGGTGACTTCAGCTTGGGTGATGGACAAGTCCACATTCGAGCCCCCGGCCTCTGCTTCCTCATCAGAAGACATGACACTGGGGTTGAGGAGATCCTTGAAGTATTCCTTCCACCGTCCGACGACATCCCCAGTCGAGGTCAACAACTGCCCACCTCCAGTGTAAACTGTTTTGGCAGGGCACTGCTTCCCCCTCCTGAGGCACAGGATGGTTTGCCAGAATTTCTTCGAGGCCAACCGATAGTCCCTCTCCATGGCCTCACGGAACTCCTCCCAGACTCGAGTTTTTGCCTCCACAACCACCTGGGCTGCAGTCCGCTTGGCCTGCCAGTACCTGTCAGCTGCCTCAGGAGTCCCACGAGCAACCAAGCTCGAAAGGACTCCTTCAGCTTGATGGCATCCCTTATTTTCGGTGTCCACCACCGGGTTTGGGGGTTGCCACCACGACAGGCACCAGAGACCTAATGGCCACAGCTCCGAGTTGCCGCATCGGCAATGGAGGTGGAGAACATGGTCCATTCGGACTCAATGTCTCCAGTCTCCCTCAGGATCTGGTCGAAGCTCTGCCGGAGGTGGGAGTTAAAGATCTCCCGGACAGGGGGTTCTGCCAAACATTCCCAACAGATCCTCACAATACGTTTGGGTCTGCTGAGTCTGTCCAGCTTCCTCCCCCGGCATCGGATCCAACTCACCACCAGGTGGTGATCAGTTGACAGCTCCGCCCCTCTCTTCACCCGAGTGTCCAAGACATACGACCGGAGGTCAGATACAACGACCACAAAGTCGATCATCGACCTCCGACCTAGGGTGTCCTGGTGCCACGTGCACTGGTGGACACCCTTATGCTTGAATATGGTGTTTGTTATGGACAAACTTTGACTAGCACAGAAGTTCAATAACAGGACACCACTCAGGTTCAGATCAGGGTGGCCGTTCCTCCAAATCACGCCCCTCCAGGTATCACTGTCGTCGCTCACGTGAGCATTGAAGTCCCCCAGTAGAACAACGGAGTCCCCAGTTGGAGCACTTTCCAGCACCCCTCCCAGAGACTCGAACAAGGCCGGGTACTCTACACTGCCATTCGGCCCATAGGCACAAACAGCAGTGAGAGACCTATCCCCGGCTCAAAGGCGCAGGGAAACGACCCTCTCGTTCACCGGGGTAAACTCCAACACATGGCGGCTAAGCTGGGGGGCTATAAGCAAGCCCACACCAGCCCGCCGCCTCTCATCGTGGGCAACTCCAGAGGAGTACAGAGGCCAGCCTCTCTCGAGGAAAGTTCCAGAGCCCAAGCTGTGCGTGGAGGTGAGCCCGACTATCTGTAGCCAGTACCTCTCAACCTCTCGCACAAGCTCGGGCTCCTTCCCCACCAGCGAGGTGACATTCCATGTCCCCAGGGCTAGTCTCCGTGTCCAGAGATCGGGTCGTCGGGGCCCTTGCCTTCAACTGCTGCCCGATCCACTGTGCACCAGCCCCTTACAAATCCTCCTGCAGGTGGTGGGTCAACGGGAGGACGTCCCCACGTCGCTCATTCGGGCTAAGCCCAGCCGGGCCCCAGGGCAAAAGGCCTGGCCACCAGGCGCTCGCATTCGAGCCCCAACCCCAGGCCTGGCTCCAGGGTGGGGCCCCGGTTAACGTCAGGGTCCTTGATGTTAATTTTTTCATATGGGGTTTTTGCACCGCTCTTAGTCTGACCCGTCACCTAGGACCTGTTTGCCTTGGGAGACCCTACCAGGGGCATATAGCCCCCGACAACATAGCTCCTAGGATCACTCGGGTACTCAAACCCCTCCACCACAATAAGGTGGCAGTTCAAGGAGATTAAACACTGTACGTTTGAAACATCAGGGAGCCTGAAACTGTAGTTTCACATGAGATTCAGGTCATAATCAAACCTATCAGTATGTCACCTGTTTGTGTACTCACTCCTACTGCTGTGTGTTGAATGACTGCAGTCTGTAAGACCTCAACTTTAACCCAACCCACTTTTATATTCACTTCCTAATGTAATATTTATGTATGAACGCACACTGAATATGGTAAACTGTACTGCCAAATGTTATAAAATCTAGTAAAAGATGACACTATTACATTGACCAGTTAAATCATTTATAAGCCATCAACTAATTATGAACATTTCATTTACATTTTGTAAATGATAAATAATGTTTGAGATTTCTGAAGCTGTTCATCTAAAGTACAGCATATACTGTAATACACTGTCTAAACAGTACTGCCTCTACTTGCATCTGATAACGTAAAACAAACTCGATACAAAAGTAATTAATCAGTATCGACTCAATGGAGAGCAACTCAAACTTGAGTTAGCTAGCTAAATCCAATGGGACTTCATCTGTCCACTAGGTAGTTAATGCTAACAGTTTTTAGCAACTGCTAAAACAGAATGGGTAATGTAAACTAGTATTTTTTAGTAACATTTTCTACTAACCTGTAGGCTACCACAGAGCAATGAGACTAGCAAATATGTAACATTGGGATTTTAGGCAACAAGGCTAGGTGGCCAGGTAAGCACCTTAGTGTTTGCTGATTCAGGCTATAATCTACTAGATATATCTCTTGTAGCCAATATTTCTTCTATGAGCACAATACTTTGAGGAATACAGTTAGCTAGATAGAATGTTGGTTACATATAGACATAACCCCAGATTCTATGAGTAGAGGATTAGCCCTCTAAGAGCTGTCACTATTGGGTTGGGCAGGGAACCCAATTGGCATGGAAGGGTGCACGGTGAATGTGTGCACACAATGCACACCAACAGCTTTGTGAGAACAGACAGACAATAGTTATGTATTACAACAGTCAGATGCTCAAGTAATGAGGCAGAGATAGAGGAAAAGGACAGTGATCGCCAACAGCAAGATTAATGTTCTGTGGTGTATATGCGCATAATATGACCTGAGCCAACAGTGATTCGGCTTAGCTTTGTATGCACAGTAATAGTCCAGCTGCTCAAGCAAATAAGGCAGAGAGGATGAAGGGTGCGACTGTCAACAGTGCACGGCGCCTCCAGTGTCCTAACGTGTGTGTGTATGTGTGTGTGACTGCAGCACGCTCCGAGCGAACAATGCATGCTACTCGTGAAGCATGCATGAAGGGACACGGTGAAGCTCAGGAACCCACTGCGCATATATCCTCCACAAGTGGAAGAGGACACAGCCCTTGTGGAGTGAGCACGGGTGTCAAGCAGGGGGATCCCTCCCAGCTGCATATGTTTGTGCAGTGGCTTCATACAACCAATGAGCCAGTAGCTGCTTGGTCAGAGGCTCCCCTTGGGAATGCGCTCTGTAATGCACGAACAGTGGTTGTGTCCTCCCGATGGCTGCTATGCGCACTACATAGTGATACTGTGTGCACTGGGCAGAGAAGATAGAGCTCGCCCTTTGACTTATTTCTGAGGAGTGGGGAGAACCAGGAAGAAGATGACCCAGAATATCAAGAAGGATGTTATCTTCAGCACAAAAGAGGGGTTAGGCCGAACTTCTGTCCTCTTGGATAACGAGGCATGACAGTGAGACCAAGAGTGCACACAGCTCTCTGGGCTGATGTCAGGACTAAGCACTGTTTTCAGGGTGAGAAACCCAATGAATATCTTCATTATAGGCTCAAACGGGAGGTTTTCAGAAAGTTCCACAAACCAAGGGCGAATCTCACTGTGGCCTCATCAGGCGTGCCACAGCCCACTGTCTTCTCACCCCTTTTAAGAAGTGCTTAACCAGTAGATGTGCAGAGATTCTTCATCCAGGTAAAGGTAGGCCGTCTGGAGCTGGCGGCATGTGGGCACTGGTGCATAGGCTGTGCAGCAGCCCTGATGGGCTCTTTGGGCCTTCCAGGAGCCCCTTCCTGATTTGCTTAGGAAACTGAGACATGTGGAGTCACATATTCTGCTGCAGTAGCATTATCCACACCTTGTGCATGTGGCAGATGGCAGGGAACTCAAGCCAGACAGGAATATGCCTACCTTCTTGCTCCGCCCATTACATGTCGGAAGGAGGAGGGGGCCAGCGCTTCTGGTGGGAGGGGAATCCCTTTGCGGCAAACCACTTTCTTGATGATGTCTGGGAGCTTGCGAAGCAGGGCTGCGACTCATCGCCACCGGTCTTCATGTCACTCAGTGGAGTGGGATGAGAGCTGGCAATGGAGAAGAGAACAGCCAGGGGACCCTTGCCCTGCATGGCAGCTTTCCAGGAACTCCTGAGCATTGTCTGCTGAGAATGTAGGGTTTGCCAAGCTGACATCATCAGGATCCCAATCCCTGAGGGCAGCGAACACTGTCACATCCTTCTCTGTCTCAGGAAGACATGCACAAAAAGGGCATGGGGCCTGGGGAGTGATAGCCAGCTCCCAGCTCAGCATGCTTAGCACTGAGGCAGGGGGTTGTTGGGCATGATCTATACAGTGGATTCGGATCTGAGGGAGTCAGCCCAGTGCTGGGTACAGGGTGCAAAAGAAAGTCTCCACAACTGCGCATTCGTGTGTGATGAGCCCAACAACAACAGCTCTTAGAGGGCGAAGCCTATACAAAATAGAACAGCAGTTATCTTGTGTACAGATAGTTCAATTTGAGCACTGGTTAGTCATGTTTGAGAATGTCTATGTTAAATGAATACACTGTACATAAAATAAGGGCACCCTCCTAATATTGCTGCAGATAAGATCTGAAACACTGACAGGTGATATTCATATATCTTTCTCCCAGAGCCTCCAGTCCTACTGCTGGTGTTAGGGCCTGGACTTCATGTACGCCAGAGGCCCTCAGATGCAGCACTGGATGGACATGGTCAACACTCCACAGGAGCCGGTGAAGCTGTGGCACGGATTGGGTAGAGCCATTCAAGCAACCAAACATGATCAGATCCACAGACACACACAGAGTCTGAAATAATAGAAATAAAGTGCTAATAAATGTGTTCATCATTTGTAAAACGTATCCATCTGCTAATAAAAGCGTCTCTAGATGAAAGGTGTGTTTGTGATTGCATGTTATTTTTACTTTGTCAGTGTGTGTGTAGCGGAATGATTTCGTCACACCCGTGTCGAGGTACTGGGTTATGGCAAATGGAATTATAACTCCGCTACATGTGCACGGCAGATATTTCAACACGAGCCTGAAAAAGTTCGACCGCTGTCCCCCACCACCCCCTAGTGCGCATGTGCAGAGGACCCCAGAACGCGGAAGCAAACCCGGAAGAAAAACAAATTTGCCGTGTGCGCCAGGCGGGCAAGATTCAGTGGGGAAAATTCATTCATTCATTCATTCATTCATTTTCTACCGCTTAGTCCCTGAACGGGGTCACGGGTGGGGCCGGAGCCAATCCCGGCCTGCAATCGGGCGAAGGCGGGGTACACCCTGGACAGGTCGCCAATCCATCGCAGAGTGGGGAAAATAAATAAAGGAAATGAATGTATTAATGTTATGAAAAACGTTCTCACAATAAAGATATTAAAAAATCTCCCACCTTTTCTCCTGAATACATCCGTGGGAAGAATGGTCTCCATCTTGTGATTCGGTATCCAGCTGTTATATTAATGGGACGTACAAAGGTTGAATTTAGTTTATTGTTATAATCCGTCCTGTTGGTGTTTGTGTCTGCTTTGGCACCATGAAGATAAACGAGAACACTACTGGAGGGACACAAAGTTGTGTTGGTTCCTTCCAATGCAAACCACGTGGCCAGGTAACGTTAACATTAACACCTGATGAGTGTTGTTACACACACAAAGCCTGTCACTTTGTCTCTTATTTTCCTCTGCTGATATCTTTAGTGATGAGTGTTGCAATGTCATTTCTTTACTATCAATGTTTAAACATGGCGGATGCGTTTTATTCTGACTTCTAAATAAGTCTGCAACTAATAATAATGTTGAGAAAACAATCTCATCACAAGTTCCATTTAGTAGCTTTTCTGGAGCCTTCGATCGTATCATACAGTCTCATTTGTCATGGAGCATTTGAAAGCTTTTTGTCCAGGCTGACACAGTGTGGAGAAATAACTTAGGACAGATGACACATCTGGCCCAGCTGTCAATACAAGCTTTTGATCCTTTGACAGTCTGAAGTCTCTTTAACTGGCACAGCAGAACCAGCTCCAGTCCTTTGGCATCTGGATACATGACTAAGTTAAAGCTGTAGAAACCTGCAGCCCCTTCTCTTATCCACCTGTTTACACTCTTCAGGTATCATGAATGGATGAAGTGTCCAGAGCTGCAGCATCTGACAGCATCAGAGCCACAGACCCTGGAAGAGGAGTACGACATGCAGGGGAACTGCGTCTAGCCTGTGTGCTGGTAAAACTGGCACAGGCTACAACTA